GATTGGATTTATACCCCGCCCTTCACTACCCAAAGGTGTCTCAGAGCGGCTTACAAACTCCTTTCCCTTCCCCTCCCCACAACAGACACCCTGTGAGGTGGGTGGGGCTGAGAGAACTCTGACACAAACTGCTCTTTTTCAAGGACAGCTGTGCCAGAGCTTGTGACTGACCCAAGGTCACATCAGCAGGTGCAAGTGGAGGAGTGGGGGAATCAAACCCGGTTCTCCCAGATTAGAGTCCGCCCACTTAACCACGACACCAAACTGAGTCCAGTGCGCCTTTAAGACCAACAAAGGTTTATTCAAGGTATGAGCTTTCGTGTGGAAGGCACACTTTTTCAAATACCTGGATCTATCGATGGTCATTAGCCATGGTGACTGAGAGGAACCTCCATGTTCAGAGGCAGTCTGAATCCCAGAGCCAGTAGGCAATGTCAGGGGAAGGCCTCAGCCTCTCTGCCCGGTTGTTGGCCCTCCAGAAGAACTGGCTGGCCCCTGTGTGAGACAGGATGCTGGAATAGATGTAGGGGTCATTCCCTGCAGGAACGCACAGGAGCGGAGCTCCGGCAGTAAAGAGCCCAGGGGGCGGGCACGTGCAACAGGCCCCGCCCCCTGCTTCCAGCAGCCCCGGGCCATGAGGAGCAAGAAGCAGCCAGGTAAGTTGCAGTGGGTGTTGCCTTCTGACACACTTCGGGTGATGTCAGGGGGTGTGGCATATGAAAAAAAGTTATGCTAATGATTTATGCTAATGAGTTCCTGCACTTCTTTTTCTACGAAATGACCCCTGATAGATGGGCCCTCACTGGTCTGAAACAGCCGGGCTCCTCAGGTTCTTATGAACACTGGCAACCCTAACTTGAAAGGACACCAATGTGCGAGGACAGAAACACATTTTGGCTGGCCAGACGTCAGCTGCAACCAACGCTCCCTCTAAGCTGTGGGCAAAAATTCTACTCTGTGAGCTACTGGCGTTAAAGCCGTGAGCGAACGGTTTGGCTCCTGCAGAAATGAAGTCTGCTCCGGAGCCCTCCTTCCTGAGCTAGGACAAAAATGTGTGAGCCGGAGGCTAAAAAACTGTGAGCTGGCTCACACTAACCCAGCTGAGAGGGAACACTGGGCCTGCGACCCTTCTTAATTGATTTTCTCCCCCCACCCCTCTTCTGCAGGAGGGGTTCATGGGGCTGAAACGGACTGTTGCTTCCCGAGAGGCAGCCTGCCTGCCGTGTGAAACTCTGGGTCGCCAACTCTGTTCTGGGCGGGGCTCCTCTGCCTCATACAAACGAAAGGCTCAAAGACGTTGGGGTTGGACTGGATGCAGAGGAGGACAGGAGGGGGACCCCTGGCATACGCCGCTCCGCCTGCCCCACTTCCACAACTGACTTCATACACAAGGATGTCATCTCCAGGTGGGCCCTGGAGACCTCCAGGAATCTCAACTAATCTCCAGGCTAGAGAGATCAGCTCCCCTCGGGCAGAAGGCCGCTCTGAAGGGCAGCCTCGGTGGTGTTACGCGCCCGGCCAAGCTCCCTCCCCTCTCCAAACCGCGCCCTCCCCAGGAAGGCTGACAACTCCAGGTTGAGAAATTCTTGGAGATTTGGGGAATGGGGCGTGGGGAAGGCAGGGATTGGGGAAAGAAGAAGAAAACGTCCTTCGCTGGACGTCTTCAAGCGGAGGCCGGACGACCCTCTTTCGGGCATGTTGAAGGGCTGTCTTTCGGCTGTGCTCCTGCAGAGTGCAGGGGGTTGGACTAGATGACCTGCAAGGTCCCTTCCCACTCTAACATTCTACGAGAAAAAGAGGAGGAAAAGGAGGAGGAGGAGGAGGAGATTGGATTTGTTAGAGTCTACCCTTCAACGCTGCCATTTCCTCCAGGGGAACTGATCGCTGTCGTCTGTGGTAATTCCAGGGGTCTCCAGGCCCCACCTAGCACCCAGGCCACACACACACACCAAGTCTACAGGCATTTCCTTTTTTTGGAGTTGGCAAGTCTAGAAATTCAGCAGGTGAATAGACTTAAAGAGGAGAAGGTCAGAATAGGGCAGACCTGATACAGAAGAAGAAGAGAAGAAGAAGAGATTGGATTCATATCCCGCCCTTCACTACCCAAAGGAGTCTCAGAGCGGCTGACAAATGCCTTTCCCTTCCCCTCCCCACAACAGACGCCCTGTGAGGCAGGTGGGGCTGAGAGAGCTCTGACAGAAAGTGCTCTTTTTCAAGAACAGCTCTTATCAGAACTATGGCTTGCCCAAGGTCATCCAGCCAGGTGCGAGTGGAGGAGTGGGGAATCGAACCCGGTTCTCCCAGACTAGACTCCATGCTCCTAAACTGGCTCTGGGAATCTGAAACTAGGGAAAGGGCTCATTAGAAAGAAGAATAAGAAAAGAGATTGGATTTATACTCCGTCCTTCACTACCCAAAGGAGTCTCAGAGCGGCTGACAAATGCCTTTCCCTTCCCCTCCCCACAACAGACGCCCTGTGAGGCAGGTGGGGCTGAGAGAGCTCTCTCGAGAACTGCTCTTTCAAGAGCAGCTCTGAGAGAACTTGTGACTGACCCAAAGCCACACCAGCAGCTGCATGTGGAGGAGTGGGGAAGAAGAAGAAGAAGAAGAAGAAGAAGAGATTAGATTTATACCCCGTCCTTCACTACCCAAAGGAGTCTCAGAGCGGCTTACAAACTCCTTTCCCTTCCAGACGCCCTGTGAGGTAGGCGGGGCTGAGAGAGCTCTTGACAGAAACGGTTCTTTTTCAAGGACAGCTCTTGTCAGAACTGTGGCTTGCCCAAGGTCATCCAGCAGCTGCAAGTGGAGGAGTGGGGAATCAAACCCGGTCCTCCCAGATTAGAGTCCGTGCACTTAAACCACTACACCAAACTGGGGACCAGAGGGAGAATTTCAAAAGACAGGGATGCCAGCCTCCAGGCGGGACCTGGGGATCCCCTGGAATTGCCGCTCGTCTCCAGACTGCAGAGATCCGTCCCCCTGGAGACAAGGGAGGCTTTGGAGGGGTGCACTCAGCCTGTGTCCCACCGAGGTCCCTTTTCTCCCCAGGCTCCCCCCCCCAAATCTCCAGGAGTTTCCCAGCCTAGATCTGGCAAACCCCCCTCCCCCCCATCACTTGCTGGTACCCAGGAGGGACCTGGTCACCCTAAGAGGGGCGTTTTCTCCCTCCGCCAAGAAGGAGCCCTTGAGTCTCCTGATGGTCTCTCCCTGACCTTGTCTCCCAAGAGCCCAAGCACCTGGCCTCTGCAATTCACCCGCCCACCGCCCAGGAATCTGGCCAGTCCAGGATGATGGACGCTCACCCCATTCCGGCTCCTTCCAGCAGGCCCCCTCTGCAACCGGGAATCTCTTGGGGCCGAGCTCCCAGCGGCTCCCTTTTTAGAGACACGCTCCCAATTTGCCTTGGAAACAGAAACTTGCACTTAAATAAGTTTCAGTTTCTGGCCCTTTCCTGGACTTTCGGTTTCCCCCATCTCTCCCCCCCCCCTTCCTCTCTCAGCCCTTGAGGAGTCTTGCTGGTGCGGGGAATCCTGCCATCTAGTGGCCAGCGAGCAGATCACACACACACACACCCTTGCTGTATAGAGACACCACTGGGTTTTCAAGGCAAGAGGCGGACAGAGGTGGTTTGCCCTTGCCTGTCTCTGCGTAGCGACCCTGGGCTTCCTTGCTGGTCTCCCATCCAAGGACTAACCAGGTTGGACCCTGCTTCGCTTCTAGGATCTGATGAGTTTGGCCTCGCCTGGGCCATCCAGGTCAAGGCAAGAGACAAGCAGAGGTGCTTTGCCCTTGCCTGCCTCTGCGTAGCAACCCTGGGCTTCCTCGGTGGTCTCCCATCCAAGTGGTAACCAGGGCCGACCCTGCTTAGCTTCCGACATCTGATGAGATCAGGTTAGCCTACGTTATCCAGGCCAAGGCAAGAGACATTCAGAGGTCAAATTGCCCTTGCCTGCCTCTGCGTAGCAACCCTGGACTTCCTTGGTGGTCTCCCCTCCAAGTACTAACCAGGGCTGACCTTGCTTAGCTTTCTAGATCTGATGAATTCAGGCTAGCCAGGGTCATGGGAGCTGGCTGGGTGACCTTGGGCCAGTCACACACAGAGTCAGGATTCAAAAGGATCTCGATAGGCTGAAACAGTGGGCTGAGAACAAATAAAATGGATTTCAGTAGAGAGAAGTGCAAAGTCCTACACTTCGGTACAAGAAAACCAAAGGCGCAGATATAGAATGGGAGGGACTTGGCTTGACAGCAGCACATGTGAAAGGGATCTGGGTGTTCTGGTTGATCACAAGCTAAACATGAGCCACCAGTGCGATGTGGCTGCGAAAAAAGCGAATGCGATCTTAGGATGCATTAACAGAATCATTGTGTCCAGATCACGGGAGGTGGTCGTTCCGCTCTATTCTGCTGTGGTCAGGCCTCACCTGGAGTCCTGTGTCCAGTTTTGGGCACCACGTTTTAGGAAGGATGTTGACAAGCTCGAGCGTGTCCAGAAGAGGGCAACCAGGATGGTGAGAGGGTTGGAATCCAAGTTTTAGGAGGAAAGGCTGAAAGAGTTGGGTCTGTTCAGCCTGGGAAAGAGAAGGCTTAGAGGGGACACGATTGCAGTCTTCAAGTATCTGAAGGGCTGTCATGTACAAGATGGAGCGGATCTATCCTCTCTTGCTCCGGATTGCAAGACTAGGTCTAATGGGTGGAAATGATAAGGGAGTCGTTACCGGCTAAATATCAGGAGAAACTTCCTAACTGTCAGGGTGGTTGAGCAGTGGAACAGTCTGCCTCGGGAGGTGGTGGATGCGCCTTCGCTGGACGTTTTCAAGGGGAGGCTGGACGACCATCTTTCTGGTATGTTGTAGGGCTCTCTTTCGGCTGTGCTCCTGCAGAGTGCAGGGGGTTGGACTAGGTGACCTGCGAGATCCCTTCCAACTCTGACATTCTATGATTCGGCCTGGCCTACCTCATAAGGCTGGTGTGAGGACGACATGAAGAAGTATGTAAGCCACTTTGCATCTGTGTTTACATGAAGTAAATAAGATATGAATGAAGGAGCTGCCAGGCGAACTTAGCAGGGATCCGTGTGGCCGAATGGGTCGTCTCCAATGGCAGAGAAAGCTGTCGGGCTTCATGTCCTTGCGGGGGGGTGGGGGGAACGCGCCCTGCTTGATGCCGTAGCAGGAGATATTGCACCACTAACGTTTCCCTGCTGATTTTGCATGATAGCAGAGAGTTCAAGCGCTCTTCCACTGTCCGGGAACTCTGTGTGCTCAAAGTTACTTTCATTCTTGGACAGTTAATTGAAACAGTTACAGATGAGTGTTGTGTATTGAGCCTTAGCCATTCCTCAAGCTGTAACAGGAACGGGTTGAGCTTGCTGCCGGAGAACAGTAGCTCACTAGGATCCTGGAACTAACCAATAGATTAGTGGTGTAATGTAAGTAGCCTATCACTGGAAGTGTGTGTGTGTTGGGTGTTGGACGACCATCTTTCGGGTATGTTGTAGGTATGTAAGGCTATCTTTCGGCTATGCTCCTGCAGAGTGCAGGGGGTTGGACTAGATGACCTGCAAGGCCCTTCCACCTCTAACATTCTATGATTCTGTGATTCTAGTCTATGGTGCTTGCAGTTGTAGTTTGCTGAAATCACTGAATAAACTAGAGCTGATCATTGCAATGCATCCAGAACCCAGACCTGAAGCTTGGTAGTTTGACAGTTCGAGACCCGAGTGTGTCGCATGACGGAGTGAGCTCCCGTCTCTGGCCCCAGCTCCTGCCAACCTAGCCGTTTGAAAGCAAGAAATCGCAAGAAGATAAATAGGTACCACTTCAGTGGGAAGGTACCAGCGTTCCGTGCGCCTCAACGTCTAGTCATGCCGGCCACATGACCACGGAAACATCTTTGGACAGCGCTGGCTCTTCGGCTTGGAAACGGAGATGAGGACTGCCCCCTAGAGTCGGATGCGACTGGCTTTTGAGCCAGGGAAACCTTGACCTTACTCTATTTCAATAACTAGTAGACTGGAGTTTTAGAACTAGGGACAGAGGGTGCCATTTTTCTTTGTCCTTCTGGTTGCTGATCTGGTGCTGTGTATGCTTGTAACCTTTTTCTCTTTCTAATAGATATTTTACTCTTTGAAGCTGGTATTCTTCTCTGGACCACAGTAGTTTCCCCAACCGCCTTAAACCGGACTTTGAGTTCCCCAAAAAGATGGAATGGAGGTGGAAATCTGGATTTCCAGGCCCCACAACTTCTGTATTCTAAAACTTCATCCCCTGCCTCTTCACCCACTTGGGCTTCCAGAGGAGGGGAAAGACTGGCTCTCTCCAGTCTACCAGATGCAAGCACGCCGGTCTCCTTTAAGGGCTTGCCATGCAGGGATGCTCTAAGTGATGCTAAATGCTTTGCTGTGAAGTCTGGCATGGGGTGTGTCATGACCAGTGTTCCCTGTAAGCTGAGTGAGTGTGAGCCAGCTCACGGTTTTTTAGCCTCCGGCTCACACATTTTAGTCTTAGCTGAGGAAGGAGGGCTCCAGAGCAAATTGAGTTATGCAGTCGCCAAATCACCTGCTCACAAATTAGAATTTTTGCTCATAGGATTCCGCAGCTTTGAGGGAGAATTGGTCATGACCCTGGGCCGACTGGCAGTGTTCCCTCTAAGCTGAGTGAGTGTGAGCTAGCTCACAGTTTTTTCGCTTCCAGCTCACACGATTTTGTCTTCGCAAACTAATTTATGCAGCAGCCAAATCGCTGGCTCACCACTTTAATGCCAGTAGCTCACAAGGTAGACTTTTTGCTCACAAGACGCCACAGCTTAGAGGGAGAATTGCCTACTGGGGCGGCCTACAGAGTCTGGGGCGGCCTAGTGGCTCCAGGGAAGCCTGCGTGGGAGTAGTCGTCAGGGCCTACATTGCCCAGGTTCCCTCTGGACCCTGTGATTGGGTAACAGGAGATTTTGGAGGGAAATCTGCACCAGTAGGGAAACAGAAGGCGGGGCCTGGGAAGAGGAGATAAAAGGCCATGCCCAGAGGGGAAGGCTGTCCTCTTTCAGGGGGCAGAGCTGGTGTGAGGATGCTGCAGACGGAGGGATCCCTCATCCAAAAGGGGAGAGCTAGACTGTGAACAGACTCCTAGGGAAGGCGAGGGCTGCGTAGACCGACGTGTTAGGATTTATTGTTTTACTGATTCACCTGCCTTTACTTTGCTCATTTTCCCTGCTTGTTATTGATCTAAAGTTGTTGTTAAACAAAACTATTACTCTGCCTGAGCCCTCACGCCTCACTGGGTCACCTACAAGTGGAAACCTGTTGTTAAGTCCTGTAACAAGGGGCAGGGTGGGTGCTCTGCGCCCTCCGCAGGAGGCCCATACCAGAGTGGTGGCAGCCAGTTGTGAACCTTCCTAGCCGCTGCTCACGACGGGGGTGGTGGTGGTGTCACCACAGAAGAGGCCAAGCAGATCCCCCTGGGATGGCAAAGTTCCAGACATTCTGCATTTCCCTGTAAGTCAAAAAGTAAAATAACAGTGAGTCCTCCATATTCTCAGGGAGAAGAACCGGCCTCTCGCCCCCACACCAGGATGGAGAAGGAAGCCACGGCCTCGGGAGGTGGTGGATGCTCCTTCACTGGACGTTTTCAAGTGGAGGCTGGATGACCATCTTTCGGGTATGTTGTAGGCAGGGGTCAGTTCCTGCAGGAGTGCACAGGAGCAGAGCTCCGGCAGTAAAGAGCCCAGGGGGGCGGGCATATGCAACAAGCCCCGCCCCCTGCTCCCAGCAGCCCTCAGTTAGAGCAAGAAGCAACCAGGTAAGTTGCAGAGCTCCCCCCGGCCCAAAACACTCCAGTGGCACCTTTAACACCAAGTCATATTCAGGTACAAGCTCTCCCTCCTCTGTGAGGACACATCTGCACGTCCCCCCCCCCCAATAGTTAGCAATCCAAAACAGTCCAGTGGAGCCTGAGCAGTAGGTGTTGCCTTCTGACACACTTCCGGTGATGTCAGGGGGTGTGGCATATGCAAATCAGTTATGCTAATGAGTTATGCTAATGAGCTCCTGCACCTCTTTTTCTATGAAATGGAAAGACCCCTGGTTGTAGGGCTATCTTTCGGCTACGCCCCTGCAGAGTGCAGGGGGTCGGACTAGATGACCTGCAAGGTCTCACATTCTACGATTCTATGGAAGGAAGGAAGCCCCAAGATGGGGACAGGGCCTGGAGGCTCCGTAGACACGAAAAGTCAACTGAACGGGGCAGTTTGTCTCCAGGTTCACAGCAACACAAACGGACCAATTCCAAATGACATACGCAAAACAGCTTGTGAAGATGGAGATGTCCGGATGATGGAAAGGAGGAGAGGTACGATCCCATGACCTTCCACCCCTCCCGGCATCACTCGCAAGTTTCTATTTGTAAGGGGGATTAGATTTGCAGGAATCCCATCCCGCCCAGATCGATAGGTGATGGGGCTGGAAGCTGACAGGGCCCCCTAGACCAGGGGTGTCGAACTCATTTGTTATGAGGGCCGGATCTGGTATAAATGAGACCTTGTTGGGCCGGGCCATGTGTCTCATAAAATGTAATGCCAGGTAGTGGAGATATAAACTTTATAAAGGACACAAACACAAAGGTGTTTCTTTACTTAAAATAAAAACGTGCTTAAAACATCAGCACTCTTGCAATGTTTTGCTTATTTAACCGTGTCTGATCACTGACACCTCTTGTTCTGAATTACGGCATCAAAATGTCTGTGCTGTTGGCAGTCTTGAGTGTGCTGTTCAGGTCTGTGTATCTGTAAGCTGCAAACCTACGATGACGCAGCAGCAGCAGCAGAACTGGAAGGAGGAGCAGGAGACAGCCAGTTCCACTGCAGGCTCGATAGGAGCCCTCCGGGGGCCTGATCCGGCCTCTGGACCACATGTTTGACACCCCCGGCCCTACACCATCAGAGAGAGAGAGAGAGACAGCTGTTCCAAAAGAATTCATCTTTATTGAAGTACAAAATCAGAATGCAGAAATATTCAAAACATTTATCAATTGAGCATCCACCATACAGGAAAAAAACACCCCAATATCTATCAGAAACAGAGTGCACTTATAGAAATAATCTATTAGGAATATATATATATTCCAGCCAGTTGTCCAAGAAGTGCCCCGAGCAATGGGAAACACTGACATTATATACCTTCAGAATCCAAAGCAGCTGTCAATTAAAAAACGAGGTGGGCCTGACGGAACCCAGGTCACTCCTCTCCTTGACCAGATGAACACCGCTCAGAGTCACCTCATAGTTTACTAGGTTGGAAGTGCCCGAGACCCTCCCCCTGGAAAGGTGGGCTTCTGGAGCCAAGTGCCCCGATATCTGAGCTGTTTCGGCTTGGAGGCTGAAACAAAGGAAACGATTCTTGCCGGACAGAGCGTATTGTCAGGTCCAGGCTTGCGTGAGAGCAACTATACTACAGAGCTTTATGGGGAAAGGAATCAAACGGTAGAGACTGAAGACAATGACAGCTGAGCCTCAGAAATGGGCGAGTCTCCCACCCCAATACAGCCTCACCAGTTACTTCTGAAACTCAGGTCTCAGCTGGAGAATCCTCCGGACCGCCCCAGCTCGGTCCATCTTGGACTCTTCCTCGAACTTCTTGGCCATCTCCCTCAGCCTCTCCCTCAGAAGCTGCCACTCTTCCATGTGGCCGCCGAGGATCAAGTAGCCGGCCTCGTACATCTCCAGCGCCTCCCACCTCAGCTTCTTCCTGTGGAGGAGGAAGTCCCCCCAGTGCAGATAGATGATCTGCTGGCACCACTTGCTGGCCGTCGGGAGCTCCTCCATCAGGTTCACATACACCTCTTCCGCGTAAAGCAGGGTCTTTTCACTATACAGCTGAGCCAGCTCCAGCCTGGAAAATATAGAGCGAGGATCCGTTTCCATGGCTCGCTGGAAGCTCTTGATAGCAGCGGCCAGGATCTCTTCTCTCTTCTCCGGGGCTGCTCCTTCCAGCTGCGTCTTGTAGCAGAGGCCGAGGTCGTAGTGGAGGAGGTGGTATCTGGGAGCCAGGGTGATTGCTCGTCGCAAGATGTCGATGGCTCTCAAGAGGAGGTTCTTCTTACAAAGCCTGGCGGCGTTTCGCAGATCTTCAGGGTTGAGGCTGTTTCGGGCAACATCCATTGTGAGCTCCATGGATCTCTGGCAGTCTTTTCTCTCTAGCAGATCAGCCAAATGCACTTTGACTTCATAGTTTTGGGGGTGGTGGCAGAGAATCTGTTCCAGCAACCTTCTGGCCTTTTCCCAAAGGTGAAATTTGGAAGAGTGAGTCCAGGAAGCAAAGACAGAGATTGCCAGACCGGCCTGGAAGTCCGGGTTGGACTCGTCTCCTCGGAGTGCCGTTTGGAAGCACTCGGTGGCCTCTTCCCCATTCCGGAAGCCAAAGGCCAGGAGGGACCACCCTTTTTGCGCGTGGATCTCGGGGATCTGCACAGAGTACGGCTCAGGGCTGGACAGGGACTCACAGATGTCAAAAATCCCGAACAGGTAGTAGTCCACCATCTGGTAGTTGACCAAGTGGTAATAGATCCAGGCGTAGTTCCCATAAATCAGCAAGAGCTGGCGGGAGTTGTCCGGCTCGTCTTGCTGGAGTCTCGTTTCTGCTTCTCGGAGACTGTCCAGAGCCTCCGGGTAATTCCCTTGCAGCTGCTGCAGGTACGCCCTCATGGCCAGGTAGACGCTGCGGTTGTGATAGGCCGTGTGCTCCACCTTGAGAGCCACCGTGTTGAGGACGTGACCGATGTTCACCTCATCCTTCAGCTCCAGGCCCCAGTTGAAATGACACTGGAGGGTCTGGAGTTTCTCCCACAAAGCTTTTATGCTGTGGGGAGAAGAGAGACATGGATGAGGACCCGGACTGTAAAGCGAAAAGGACGTTTCCCAATCCCAGCATATGTGTAAGTATAAATCCTAACTATAAATACATGTCGGCGGGGTCCGAACAGGCTGAGACTTACCAAGAGAGACCCAGAGAGAGATCTGGAGTCGTAGTAGATAACCATCCTTCCTGAGCCAAGACAAAAACGTGTGAGCCGGAGGCTAAGAAATTGTGAGCTGGCTCACACTAACTCAAATCAGAGGGAACACTGGCTGCAGCCCTTCTTGATGGCTGGGAGGGGTTCATGAGGCTGAAATGAAGTGTTGCTTCCCAAAAGGCAGCCTGCCCTGTGAAACTCTGGGTCGCCAACTCTGTTCTGGGCGGGGCTCCTCTGCCTCATACAGAGGGGCGATAAGCAAGTGAAAGGCTCAAAGATGCAGGAGGGCAAGAGGGGGAACCCTGGGAAGCGCAGCTTCTCCCGCCCGAGTTCCACTACTTCATACACAAGGTCACAGGGGTCGTTTCCTGCGGGAGCACACAGGAGCGGTGCTCCGGCAGTAGAGAGCCCAGGGGGCGGGCACATGCAACAAGCCCCACCCCCTGCTCAGTCAAAGAGGCAGTCAAAGAGCCCAGTCAAAGGGGCAGTCGCTGGTTTCTGAGGGTACCAGTTGGGGAGGGGAAGGGTGTCAACAGGGGTCATTTCCTGCAGGAGCGCACAGGAGCGGAGCTCTGGCAGTAAAGAGCCCAGGGGGCGGGCACATGCAACAAGCCCCCACCCCCTGCTCAGTCAAAGGGGCAGTCAAAGAGCCCAGTCAAAGGGGCAGTCGCTGGTTTCTGAGGGTACCAGTTGGGGAGGGGAAGGGTGTCAACAGGGGTCATTTCCTGCAGGAGCGCACAGGAGCGGAGCTCTGGCAGTAAAGAGCCCAGGGGGCGGGCACATGCAACAAGCCCCACCCCCTGCTCCCAGCAGCCCTCAGTCAGAGCAAGAAGCAGCAAGGTAAGCTGCAGAGCCCCCCCCCGGCCCCCCGGTCCAAAACAGTCCAGTGGCACCTTTAAGACCAAGCTTATGCTAATGAGTTACGCTAATGAATTATGCTAATGAGCTCCTGCACCTCTTTTTCTACAAAATGACCCCGTGTCATCTCCAGGTGGGCCCTGGAGGTCTCCTGGGATTACAAACGGGTCTCCAGGCTAGAGAGGTCAGTTCCTCCAGGGAAAGGATGGGAAAGGCGGCCTCCGCGGTGTTCTACCCAGCCAAGGTCCTTCCCCAGAAAAGCTGACGACTCCAGGTTAAGGAATTCCTGGAGATTTGGGGATGGGGCGTGGGGAGGGCCGGGCTTCAGGAGCGGAGACCTCTGCAGTGCGTAATACCATTGAGTGAAGAAGACGAGGAGGAGAAGAGGAGGAGATTGGACTTATACCCCTTGCCCTTCACTCGGAATCTCAGAGCGGCTTACAAACTCCTTTCCCTTCCCCTCCCCACAACAGGCACCCTGTGAGCAATGGAGGAGGATGGATTTATACCCCGCCCTTCACTACCCCGCCCTTCACTACATGATCGAGGTTTATAAGATGATGCATGGGAAAGAGCAGGTAGAGAAAGAGGTACTTTTCTCCCTTTCTCACCATACAAGAGCTCGTGGGCACTTCATGAAACTGCAGAGCGGTCGGGTTAGAACGGATAAGAGGAAGTACTTCTTCACCCAAAGAGTGATTAACACTTGGAATTCACTGCCACAGGAAGTGGTGGCGGCTACAAGCATGGACGGCTTCAAAAGGGAATTAGATAAGCATATGGAGCAGAGGTCCATCAGTGGCTATTAGCCACAAGGTATAGATAGGGACTCTGGGGCAAGTGATGCTCTGTCATCTTGGTGCTTGGGGGGGGGGGTCAACAGTGGGAGGGCTTCTAATGTCCTGGCCCCACTGGTGGACCTCCTGATGGCACAGAAAACACAGTAAGGTCTGTGAGACCCAGGGCCAAATCCCCTCTCTGTCCTGGATCACCTTGGGCCCATCACTGTGTCCCACCTGAACACCTGAGAGGTTGATTAGGAAGATGAAACGGACGACAGAATGATGCTGTAAGGCACCCTAACAAATAAAGAAAACAGGGTCAATGTGGGTGGGTTTTCCCATCACTGGTCACTGATATCCAACAATGGGAGCTTTGACTCTCCAAATCTTATATCCCCAAAATCTTTTTGCTCACTAAGGAGAGAGGAGATTGGATTTATACCCCACCCTTCACTACCTGAAGGAGTCTCAGTCCTTTCCCTTACCCTCCCCCCAACACACACCCTGTGAGGTAGGTGGGGCTGAGAGAGCTCTTTCAAGAAATGCTCTTTCAAGAACAGCTCTGACAGAACTATGGCTTGCCCAAGGTCATCCAGCAGCTGTGAGTGGAGGAGTGGGGAATCAAACATGGTCCTCCCAGATTAGAGTCTACCCTTCAATGCTGCCATTTCCTCCAGGGGAACTGATCTCTGTCGTCCAGGCGCCACCTGGAGGTTGGGAACCCTAGCCCCCAGCCCACACTCCCCAAATCTCTTTCATTCCCCAAGTTCTTACCTCTAACCAGTAGGCAGAGAGCCTGTATTATGAAAAACCTCCTTTCAGACAAGCACTCGAAGGTAACACACCATGTGGCTAGATTTGGATGGAGTGTTTTAAGAATTAGAAAATCTACAGTAACACAGCAAGCAAAATGTGAATCGTTTTATTGTTAACCGTCTGCTTCCTAAGGAATTAATTATGTATTTTATAATGCATTTTACTGTTCTGTTAAGCCTTTTAACCTTTATTCGTAGGTGTTCCTTACTACTAAGTCTGTAGTGTTTCAAATGTTAACTGCTGGCTTCGGCCGTAAATAAAACTTTATCCTTTATCCACCCCAAATCCACAGGAATTTCCCTCCTTGGAGTTGGCAACTCGAGGCGGGAAGCAGAAACTCAGCAGGTGAGTAGACTTAACAGGGCTCTTTTTGTAGATAAAGCCCAGCAGGAACTCATTAGCATAACAGGCCACACCCAACAGCAGGAACTCATTAGCATATTAGGCCACACCCCTGACAGCACAGCTCATTGGCATATTAGGCCGCACCCCCATGTTACCAGAAGTGTGACCCCACTGCTTACCACCCTCCACTGAGAAAATTTCCCACCTACACTCACTCTCTGTTTTCTATGAACTAGCCAGTTTTTGATCCATAAAAGGACTTGTCCTTCTATCCCATGATTTTTGAGCTTACTTAGGAGCCTTTGATGAGGAACTTTATCAAAAGCTTTCTGGAAGTCAAGGTAAATAATATCTATTGGATCCCCCTTGTCCACATGTTTGTTCACCCCCTCAAAGAAGACATAAAAAGACACATTACGATTGGTTCCAGACTACATCCCAAAAAAATTTTTCACCAGGAGAGAAAGTACTCAGTTGAACAATTATTCAAGGGAAGTGTGTCTGACCATGGCAGCGAGCTATCTAGAATGAGACATCTGGTCTATATCTCTGCCTTAGGTTGGGGCCTGGGGATCCCCTGGAATGACCACTCATCTCCAGACTGCAAAGATCAGTCTCCCTGGAGACAATGGCTGCTTTGGAGGGTGGACTCAGTCCATGCCATTGTACCCCACTGAGGTCCCTATGTCCTCCCCAGGGTCCATCCCCGAATCTCCAGGAGTTTCCCACGCTGGATGTGGCAAAAAAACACAACAACCCATCCTCTGCTGGTGCCCAGGAGTGACCTGGTAAGTGGTAACCCTAAGAGAGATGTTTCCTCTGCCAAGGAGGAGCCCTTGAGTCTCCTGGTGGTCTCTCCCTGACCTTGTCTCCCAGGAGCCCAGCCCTCGGACGTTTGCCACTCGCCCGCCCACCGCCCTGGAATCTGGCCAGGCCAGGATGATGGATGCTCACCCCATTCCGGCTCCTTCCAGCAGGCCCCTCTTGGCTTTGGGGCAGAGCTCCCAGCAGCCCGCTTCTTATAGCCCCGCTCCCAATTTGCCTTGGAGACAGAAACTGAAATTTAAAGAAGGCTAGAAAGAGAGTCTCGCCCTGCTGGCTGCGAGAGGCAAAATCCGGAAAGGAATCCTTAAGGACACAGAACCCCTGTGCAGGCTTCCCCGTTCTTGCCAGGATTCTCCATCGGATGGGAAAGTCAAAGAGAGGAAGGGGGGAGAGCGGAGAGGAGAGGAGGCGCATTGGGGGCAATGCTCCCCCTAAGCTGTGGGGTCTGGTGGGCAAAAATTCTACTTTGTGAGCTCCTGGCATTAAAGTGGTGAGCCAGCGATTCGGCTGCTGCATAAATTAGTTGGCGCTGAAGCCCTCCTTCCTGAGCTAAGACAAAAATCTGGGAGCTGGAGGCTAAAAAACTGAGCTAGCTCACACCTACAACCTAGCAGTTCGAAAGCAAGAAATTGCAAGTAGATAAATAGGTACCACTTCAGTGGGAAGGGAACAGCGTTCCGTGCGCCTTGGTGTTTAGTCATGCCAGCCACATGACCACGGAAATGTCTTCAGACAGCGCTGGCTCTTCGGCTTTGAAAGGGAGATGAGCACCGCAACCCTAGAGTCGGATTTGACTGGCTTTCGAGCAAGGGAACCTTTACCTTTACCTTTTTAGCTCACACTAACTCAGCTTAGAGGGAACACTGCTGGGGGGGGGGTGTTTCTGGCCACGCTCCAGAATCCTTTTACATAAGAACATAAGAGATGCCAGTGTTGGATCAGGCCAAAGGCCCATCCAGTCCAACACTCTTGTGTCACACAGTGGCCAAAAATACCAGGGGCCATCAGGACGTCCACCAGTGGGGCCAGGACATTAGCAGCCCTTTTTTCTCTGCATCCTCTTCCAAACCCTCAGCAGATT